CGTGCTGGCCGGGGCCGATACGCCTAGAATGTGGGAATTAGGATTTAGGGTTTGGGGTTTAGGGTTTAGGGTCCCCCTTAAGTAGATAGAATATGAAGTATACGGGGCTCTTATTATAACATACCCAAAGCCATATTCTATCTAGTTAACGGGGACTCTAGGGTTACTGTACGGATGCGAGCCGGAGGCCTCACATGAAGAACACACAGCCATCACTTCAGAGCTCTCACCCCTCTTAGCCTGCATCACCGGGTTGCTGTTAAGGAACTTATTTTAAGTTACCATATTATGGGCATATAGCAAACAATGGGATTTCCCTATTGCAATTACATTTTTTAAAAAATGTTCCGCAACAGCAACCCGGATTGCTGAGCGCAACCTCGAGATGCAGCCACAAGCTCGAACTGTACAGGACTTAATCCGGGCTGAGGATCCCTAAACGTAAGCCCTAAACACTAAACCACGTTTATACCCTTCCCAAAACTAAAAGGGAACTCTAGCTCCCTCTGTGGAAAGGACAGCAGTCTTCGTGGAGCCCGCTTTGCGTGTCCCATGTTACTTTGTGCCCCAATATAGACCCCAAAAACTACAATCCTCATTGCGGTTTAGGGTTTAGGGTTTAGGGATCCTCATTGAACCCTGCAAAAGGTACCCCTAATGTTGGGACACCCCCATGCTGTTTAAGGAAGGACTTGTAGTAAGTAGGATCCCAAATGCAGAAATTCCTAGGGTGTAGGGTATACAAGGTGGTTCAAGATTTCCTGTGTCCGCAGTCGCTTTATTTGGGTTCTGTCTGCAAAAGCGTAGCCATCCTGGTGGCCTGCAAAACCTTAAGCCCGCAACCCCTAGACCTTAAACAGCATGGGGGTTTCCCAACATTAGGGGTACCTTTTGGAGGGTTCAGTCATCCACCAAGAAGAACCCTTCGGTAGACTCCTTACCCTGAGTAGCGGACAATAGAAATGTAAGAGGGCCCTAAAATAACCATTATCCCTTAAGGTCACGATTACTGGGTGTGGGATCCACCTAAACACGCCCTAAATTTCTGCAACTGCCTATGTCACCCCTCTCCAATGCTCATGGACTTTGCGCCGCTCCTAGAGCCTGAACGCGTTTGGGGTTTAGGGCCCTGGAACCCTGAATGGTAACCCCTACGCCCCAAGCATAAATTCAAAACTCTAAACCATGAACCCTCAATCATGCACCCTCAACGCCCTATGAAATGCCAAATCCAAAGCCAATCCTAAACCCCGCAAACGGCCTGCACTTCCTGGATGAGGTATTTCTCCTGGAAGATAAATGCGCGGTTTAGGGTGTAGCATTTAGGGTTTAGAGTTCAGCGTTTAGGGTGTAAGGTTTAGGGTGTCCATGTGCTAACAGCTAACGTATATGGTTGAGTTACTGGTAAGGAACTTACATTAAGTTACTATAATAAACGAACCCTACATTTACTATATGCTCGTATTTTGGTAGTTTAATTGTTGTTCCTTAACAGCAACCCAGAACATGGAGCATGGCTTTGCGGTTTGGTTTTGCGCTCGTGCACACATGCTTCTGCAAACGGACAATTTGAGAGCGGGGGGATCCCAAAACTGGGTTGCTGTTGAGGAACTTAAACTAAGTTAACATGAAATGGGTATATGGTACATAATAGGGCTTCTTTGTACTAGCAATAACATCAACCCATATAATGCTCGTTCTGCGGATTCCTGAAAGACAGACCAGCTCTCGGAAATCAGAATTTAAAGTGAGAGTTTCCGAAGAGCTGTCGGGCCTGAAAATATGCAAGCTCATACATGACTCAGTGTCTCGAGCCGCGGCTTCACCAAAGGGTTGTTCAGTAAATAGCTTAAGGGTTAAAGTTTAGTAGGTGGGCTTGGAGGTGAGGGTTTGTGGGTGATGCGGGTTAGAACCGCAGCAGCCGAACTGAAACTAGATATGCAGGCTGCTGAAACTCAAGGTCCCCACTGTCATGGCATCCAGGAAGAACCCCCTCTCCCAACTGTCAACATTCAGTCTTCAAAGTAGTGCTGCAGCTGGTAGTGCCACCAACGCCACCGCCGACGCCACCACCGCTGCCGCCGACGCCATCACCGTCACCGCCGCCACCGCCGCCGCCACCACCATGCACCACCACCCCCACCACCACCACCACCACCACCACCACCACCGCTGCCGCGATTCTGCTGCCCCATTTGAGCGTAAAGCGGTAACCCCAAACCTCAAGCCTTACACCCTTTACTCCTCCAAAATTAACATGGAAGCTCAAATAAAGCCCCGCGCAGACTATCGTGCTCTGAAAAGGGAACAATGTAGACTTTCCATGCTTATTTGCAGGTGAGCATAAGCCAATGGCGGCGACCTAAATCTCCCTATCAACCCAAGTTCCCATGTCATTTGCCAGGGCATTTTCCATTGGGTTATATAGTGTATTCTGCATTTTGAAGCCAACCCTAAATCCCTAAATCTCTAAATCCCTAAACCCTAAACCTAACCCCGAAAGAAAAACAAAAGGTGCCGGTCCCGGTCTCGTAGCTGCTTGAAGTTCTGCATCTCCTGGAAGCCCAGATGGATGGACTAAAATCTAAGCTCCCGGTATCCCCCTCAGTAACCCCTATAATACTCCCCCATAACATCCCCTAAATAACACCCTTAAAGGAGTTTAGACGGGGTTTTGGATTTAGGGTTTCGGATTTGGAGCTTAGGGCTCTGCATTTGGGGTCTATACTGTGTAGGGCTTCGGATTTAGGGTTTGGGATTTAGGGCTTGGAGTTTGAAAAAGTTCCCCAAAAATCTAAGGTTGGAACTATGGAAAGCCCTATAGCCTTCAAATATGTAATGCAGCCTAAATGTAAGCCCAATACCCCATCATTAAAGAATAGAGCCTAGATGATACCAGGATCCCTTGTGCTATTTAGGGTACATTCCTTAGTTAATGCGTATTGGGCCCCCTGGGTTGAGCCTAAGCCGTACCAAATCCCAAACAAGCCAGGCCAAACTCATTTTTGCTTGTAGTGTTTGGGGTTTGGGGATTAAGTTACTGAAGATGGTAATGTAAAGATGTTTAGGGTTTAGGGATATTCCCCCGGTAATGGAAATTTCTATGAAAAAGAAAATGGGAATGGGATAGAAGATGGGCTTATATAGGTTTCTGTAAGGCATTATGTAGGGTTATTGGCCTAAACAATCACCAGGGTTGCTTCTTGGGTCCATGTGTGGTACGCTATACAGCCTGCACCACAATTATTATGCGACGAGTCCGGGACATGGAAATTGATGACTATTGTGGCTTCTACATCATATATGGATCTGGGTCATGGTGCGATCATACTGACACCTAAACCCTAAACCCTAGATCCTAAACCAGAAACCCTAAGCCGCTAGGCTCCATGAGATTCCTTGAGCTCCTGATCGTCGATTTCAAAACATGAAGAGTTGAGGTTTTAGGGTTTAGGAATTGAACAAGACAGTAGTCTGCCTCTTACACCTGAAGCACAAAACCCACACAGAGTACCTAATCATTGATATGTAGTCTACAGAAGGACTAGAACCATAATGCTCAAGATGGTAACAAGCATCGGTATGGCTAAACCAGATAGCCTTGAAACCCGAAAGCCCCCCAAAAACGCGAATCTAAAGCTCCATCGTCCAACACGTCTCCCATCTATCCAGACCTACAGGACCAGCATGTTTGTCCAACATCTGGGCTTAGGGTTCAGGATGTAGGGTTTAGGGGTTTAGGGGTTTAGGTCTTTAGGGTTTAGGAGCTTAAGGTTTAGGAGTTTAGGGGTTTAGGGTTTAGGGTTTAAGGCATCTTGTCCGCGGAATCTGGAAAGCATCGTAGATTGTCAAAGCCATAGTCGCCCCCTTTTTGGATCCCCATTCTACCACCGCCCTCAATGAACACACATATAAACTAGGTACTCAAAAAAGAGCCATAACCTTGGGGTTCTGTAGCACACGGACCCTCATATTGAGGGAGTTCTTCGGGGTAGCAGCTACCAGGTGGGTACCCTTACATAAGGCTTAGATAAGGCTTATACATATGATAAGGACATTAAAACTATATAAGGGCTGTGTAAAGCTAATATCGGGAAAATACCAACCTGAAACTTCCTGAGACAGTATGAACCCTGGACTAAACTTGTTGCGTGTTCCTTAAACTTGTTGCAGGTTCCTTAGAGGTCCCCCTAAACCCCCTATGCATTCCCCTTTAGGTCCACCCACCTGACTCTAGTCCCTAGCTTATCTGAACCATACTCTAGACTCCCAATATGCTCCAAAGCGGTCCCCTATGCAATCCTCAATGAAGCACCCTCTAAGGAGCTTTAAGGAGTTTCGACTATGGCTTACATGATAGTTTTCCCAAATAGAGGGACCCCAATATAGACCTAATATACTATAAACCTTATTATGGGGACCCCCAATAAGGCCCTAAATCCTAAACCCTAAACCCAAATTTTGGGAAACTCCCACATGGGGCCCAATATGTTTCGTAGGGACTCCCCAATTACAGGTGGCCAGGTTAAGGCCTACAAAGGCATTAGGGTGTAGGGTTTAGGGTTTAGTGTTTAGTGTTTAGGGTTTAGGGTCTAGGGTTTAGGATTTAGGGTTGCGGGTTAAGGGTTTAGGGTTTAGGGTGCTGGAGGTCACCCTCGAGAACCCTACTTACGTTTAGGGCTGCATATTTGTTGGGCGCTTCCCGTTTAGAAGGTCATGCAACAGTTTAGTTTGTAGAGAGCTTCAGGACTAGTGACCATTTAGGGCTGAGGGTTCCGGGTTGAGGGTTTTAAGTTTAGGGTAGGTATTGGGTAGGTTACGTGGACCATTGGAAGGCCAGGCAGGCTAACCAGCGAATAGACAAATAGAAACCAAGTATTTCTTAGGGTTTACAATCAGGGCTCCCGCTGACAAGACCCCAACTCCCTCCAAGTAAGGACGTCAGTGTGAGAAACTCCTCACTTGCAAGCCGGCTGACCATCCTCAATACTTTTGCAGCCCTGGCAAACATCTCTGGCCCCTCATTGGGCAACTCTGCATTCCTTATTGGGCATCAGGATGAACGAAAATTTGCAAATGCCCAGCAAGGATCCAGAAGCGAGTGTCTTGTACGAATTGCAATAAGAAAGCTTAAGGCAGAAAAATGCGGTATGGTGATTGCTCCTTCTCAGAAGGACACACAGGTCATGTAGACCCCTGGTTCATAAGCCCCCTCCCCTGAAACGGGATTATAATAGGGATCCCAATATTAAGGCCCTTAAAAGGATGGGGGTTATTAATCATGGGTCTACATTACATGACTCTAAAAGATGCCAACTTGAAGCTCTCATCGTCGTCTACATTACATTACAATAACAATAACAATAACAATAACAATAATAATAATAGTAACAATAATAATGGTAACAATAATAGTAATAATAGTAATAATACTAATAATAAGTCGCTGTTGCAGGTCCTTGAACTTCTGGTGATCCCCAAGAGGTGTGAACTTCTCGCCAAGGTTGTTCCTGCCAGCACTGGGCAGCACTTGGAGGGTAATGGTGTTAGTAGCTACTTATTCCTGAGGTTGCAGACCTGCTTAATACCCCTGTATAAGTGCTACTGAAGGCCGTGAACCCGCAGGCACGGTTTCCACTCCGCGTTTTCGAAGTTCAGGGCTTAGAGCTTGAGGCTTATAAGGCCGACTTCCAAGAAAGTTCGTCTGCTTTTCCACACCTGGACCCCTAACATCACACGTTAAGGTCTCTGGATACACTGTCCGGAAACTCGAGCACAAGTTTGTCGCACCCCATGTACATTTAGAGCGTTGAAGGACTTAGGAATAAGAGGGGTTCTACCATGAATTCTCCTCGATTAATGAAACCCCATAACCGCGTCCCCACTTATTATGTCTTCCAAGCACACTGCGCCCTGAAACATAATTGCTGCTCCCAGGCTTGAATGGCGATGATGATGATTCCTCTATTTGCTGAGACAAGATCAACACGCCAAACCCTTACCCCACGGGCTTTTAAGGGCTTAAAGGGAACGATCCGGTCGAGGCTGAGGAGGATTCGAGGCGGTCGACGAATGAGAAACTTCCCCTCCCAAATCTTCCTGGGCTATATTGAAATAGTGGGAAAAGAACATGGAAACTACTATATTATAGGATAGAGATTAGGGCTCAGGGTTCTCATAAACCAAAAAGATAAGAGCCTGTCGCAATAGTAAGGGAAATGAAGTGGTTCTTGCATGCTTTTACTTGAGCGACAGGGGCTTCTCTCTGCGCAGGGAGAAGTGGAACGTTCCACCTATGTGATGCTATATCAGTTTTCAATCAGTTCACCTACCCTGGTGAGGACAGCAGCCACAAACTGGCTTGCGGTTGAGGAACTGGAACCAAGCTACCTCACGTGTCGAAGTTATCAGAATTGTCCCTACAGTGGCAATCGTAACCAGGATAGGAAGACGTGATCTTCATTTGATAAAAGGTTGAAACCGTGGGCCGCTAGTATGGGCCAAAAACCCTGGAATCCTTATATACCTACTATATACCCTCTATGTACCCTTCAGACTCCCTAGATTCCGCCGAAGAACAGGACTAAGGGCCCATATTTGGGGGCCCGTACTTCTGACCTCAGACTCGAACCTCCGTCACTTCGACTACACTACACCCAAGAACATACACGGTCCCTACTTGAAGGCCTGTAAGAAAAACTCTTTCAAAGGAGAGGCTACAAAGGATCCCAACGTTCTTAGAATAGGGGCTTAGGGTTTAGGGCTCATCTGGGCACCAATCAAGACTCTCCTGAGACTTCCTCGAGTCCTAGAGACATTCCCTAGAAGTTAAGCCGATGGTCTGAAACCCTAAATCCTAGCACCAATGCAAACCCTATTCCAAAATACCACTGGCAGTTTCCCGTATGTATCCGAATAACCCTAAAATATCACTAAACCCCGAAGCCTACACCCCGAGACAAAAGCACGGATGGACACACGCCTCAATGAGTTTAGAGCTTCGTTTCGCTGACGCAGGGCCTCGGCATCCGAAATTCTGAAAAATCAAGGGCCCTGTGCACCCCAGAAAAATCAAAATCCTAGGCGCCACAAGGAACTCAAACCATTGCGAAAACCTTAAACCCCATGTGCGCCCTTCTTCAAGTCCATGAAGAGACACATCTAAAACAGGTTTGCGGGTGTAAGGGTTTTGGGTTTAGGGTTTCAGGGTTTCAGGGTTTAGGGTTTGGGGTGACAAGTTTGATGTTAAGTTCTGGATATCCTGAGCCTGTGGGGTACAAACCAGATCTGCGTCCAATTGCTGACACTAATGAAACTTGGAGGGTCAGGGGGCTTTCGTTAGTAGGTTCATACTAGGGATAACTGGCGTTACTCTGTAGCCTTGGGGGCTTAGCAATCCACTTAGTAATTACCCCTGACCCTCCAAGTATTGTAGACGAACTACCATCTTCTTTCGTTCACCCTAACTAGAAAGTACCTCCGACAAAGTGCAGGGCCAGAAAATCTCCATGCCGCTTAGGAGTCCATACCCCAAACATGAATGAAACCATGGGAATTTTCCGAACCCTAAGCCTCAACTAAACCCTGAACCCTAATCAAGCGATAAACCCCAAACCCTAAACCCAAATTAAGCCACAAACCCCAAAACCTAAACCGGCCACCAGACATGAAAGTTGCTATCTCGAGAACCTTTTAGAACACCCAGCCACAACCTCGCCTACCCAAATAGTTAATGACATGAAAACTACAACTAATAACTTAGGTTGACGCCCCACCCAGTAATAGTTATAGGATAATCGGGATTATATTAGGGTCCTCTGCCTCTTATATTCTTATTATACCACTATTACAGGGTGGGGCTCCTCCTAAGTAGTAACAATAAAAGAAATAATAACAATAGGATCCCAGTTATAATCCCTATTTAGCGGAAGGGGTTTATTCTTCAGGGGTCCGGGCTACCCAAACAGAAACTGTGGGAAGCTCGCTGATGCCTAGAATTCACGGGTACTAAAGATGGCTGTTGTAAATGTGCCTGGAGTCTTAGGGTCCAGGGTTTGGGGTTTAGGGCAAAGCAAAATACATAGCTCTGCTAAACTTTACGAAGCATGCTGTCATGTTCTTGAAACCCAGAAAGCGTAGTTTTCGGATTCGGTGATGGCAAGCCGAAATTTCAATGACTGAAACCTGATCAGCTACATCAGTTCGCCTGTGTGCTCCTATGTCCATGCTTAGGATTCCTGTGCAATTATGAGACACGAGTTCAGCCATGTGTAGGTAGAAGATTTACAGCTATCTTCAATACAACTGTCCACGCGCATTCTACTGAAAGAAGTGTAAGCCCCGAGCCCTACCCAGACCTCAGGAAAAGTTGCAAGCTTCCATTTGCTTTTCCGTTATTACATATGATTCCCATATAACCATCAAAATCCCTTTACATCAAATGGGTACCATAGTATCCCGGAGGGAGCCAGGAAGTGTTCTTGTGCGGCAACAACAACAACTCATCTTCAGGTTTCAGGATTCAGGGTTTAGGTAGGGGCTTCCCAAACAATAGGTGGGCCCCAAGATATACCCGCAGATATTATGATCCGTACTACAGGTAACCCCAAATGCGGACCCCCAATCTCTGAGAACCCCCCGGCTGAAACTCAGGATGTATGTGCTACATCAGCGAAGCTTTGTGCCAATTCCAGAGGATCGCTCAAATACTGGAAATGACTCTGCCAAAGTGTCATCTACCCTACCAAATGGAAATGGCACGGCAGTAATGAGGATTATAAGAGTGAAAGGAGACTCTAGCGATAAATTCCTGGCGCCAATCCCCTCCTGCCGACTGCACAAACGGCGGGAGACCTGTAAGTTGGAATCTATGGCATCACGATATCTCACGTCTTCCAGTGAGATGAGAAGCAACACAGATGCCCTGGTATCCCCTTTGAGAATATGGTTTAGTGTTTACATTGAATGAACTTCTAAGGGTTAAGAGTGACCTTTTTGTGCTTCCATATTGGTTTGGGGCAGGCCTAGCTCTGGAAGCCAGTACGCTGCCTTAGGGTTCAGGCTTAAGGGCTTAGGGTTTTGGGGCTTAAGGCTTACGAAGAATTCCCAAATTTCCCAGGATTCAAACCTGAAGCCCTACTCACTGACCCCTTGGCAGCCTGAACCTTTAAAACCTGAACCTCGAAGCCCAACCCTAACCCTCAGTCTAGGGCAGGTTTAGGGTTTAGGAGAATTGAACGCACCAACCCCAAATCTTGATGCTTTGAATGCTAGGTAGGCAATTGCGAAACACTCCTGTTATCCATGACGGTCATTACATCAAGGGAACTATAGGATACTACCTGGTTACAACTGTGCCTTAAACCCTACAATCCCTTACATCCTAACCACGTTTGAATGAAGACTCCCGCAGCACCACTTGAAATTCGTTATACTGCAAGTTCTGCATGACCGTAAGTTTCATAGCTTGGGCTATGTGCGGTATAGTCCAAACTCCTAGTATCCCCGTTAATAATCCCTATATTAGAGGGTTTTGGGTTTTGGGTCTAAACTCCTAGTATCCCCCTTAGTAAGCCCAATAATAATCCCCAATGTACTCCCATATATAGTCCCCCATTAAGGAGTTTAGACTATAGCTCATATGGATTTATGGTATACTAAGCTCCTGTGGGGTTTGTATACCAACCACATGTACGTCCGGTCTGAACTTCTGCCCCTGCCCATCATGCCCTGAATGGCCTTATACAACCCTACTTACTGATATGCAGTTTAGGGTTAGGGCTGAGGGCGAACACCAAAAATTGCATTTTAACTACCCTGGTAATTTCCGTTTGGTTTTCATTGAACCCTAACTCATCTGGCAGTTTGCATTTTTCCGTTCCTTCATGCGCAACCCCAAGCCCTAAACCCACCATCCTGGACCCTACATCAAAGCCCCTCAACCCTGTACTAGTGTTCGTTTTTCCATTCCCTTCATGAACACCCTAAACCCTAAACCACAACGAGAGTTCTGAGAGCCTCACCATCTCTAGCTCTTGCTCTCTTTCATCCAACTCCTGGGATTTGGTGCGTTGAAGATTTTGCAGGGCTTCCAGGTTTAGGGCTTTGGGGTTTAGACTTTGGGATTTATGCCTTTGGGGCCGAGTGTTTTGGGCCTTAGAGCTTTAGGTTTAGACTTTGAGAGGGTTGGGGCTTTGAGTTTGGACCCTAAACCCTAAACCGTAAACCTTAGCGGCGGTTAGGGCTTACAATTCATGGGGTTTCTGGCTTGGTTTCAGGTTCAGGCTCAGGACTTCAAACCTTGAGGAGTGGGAGTTGGCCTTAGGGTGTAGTTCTTCTGCTTTAGGCTTAAGGCTTAGTTTAGGATTTAAGGTTCAAGGTTCTAGTATATTCCTTAGTAAGCCCCCCTATACCCTTTATATATCCCATTTGTATAATTATAGGTCCTCCGCAACCTAATTTTAGGCACTTTAACACGCAGTTCATGTGCAGGAATTAATCTGAACTGGCATGCGTGGGTTACATTTGGAGTTCGCGCGGCTTACATGTGAATTCACGCCTTGAATTTTTTGGAAATACACAGATGTAGAAAGTGAAACATGCTAGCGTATGCCTTTGTGAGATGCGCACCAATGATCACGAAGGCACCAATGGGACGAGAAGTGGACGACCCCACATATGGTAAAAGATGTCTCAGGACGAATACTCCCCTCCCCCTAACCCCTACACCCCGCCTAATATTAAATACTCCCACTATATGGTATATCAAAATATATTGGTAACATTGAATATTAAGGGGAGGTTAATGCTAGGGGGATGGTATTATGTCCAAGTCCTCATCCGTCATCGATGAGATCCGAGTGAAGCGCGACCTTGCCAACGACAGAAGCTCCACTGCTGCTACATCTTCCTTCAAAGAGACAGGTGACTGACATCTTCTTTCAATTCTGAACTGAAATTTCATGAATTGCGGATAGCACTCTTTAAGATGTCGAATTACAGTTGCAGAATATCTCACCGAAGGTCGGAGGTTTGTAGTGCAGAAATCATCAAGAACCAAGACAAGCATTGCAACATTGAAAAGTTTGATCTTCCGCCGAGCTCACTCTGCGACCAAACCTTCTTCATTCTTGTCCTTACCCACTAGTTCAGTGACGCGAAGCCAAATTGGGATCACTCGCCCGCTCAATACACTCAAATCTGCACTAATGGAAACTCAACTTCAATGTCCTAATCCACAAAACACTTGAATTCCAAGGCTACATCGACTCTCGAGACGCTGCACATGGAGATTTCTGCTTGTTTTAGAAGACACAACACATTGCATATAAGCTTGGAACTAAGGGGGTCAAACCTATACCAATGGCTAACATGTGCAATGAGAGAGAACCAGCGTTCCTCTGCATGACCATTTCCACCCGTTGCACTACCGCGAACAAGACAGCTAGATACATCCTGCAGTTTGTATCCGTGTCAAGCAATTATTCTTGTTGCGCATGGACATCAAAATGGAATATCATTACCTCTCAAAGTCTTGAACTATCATTATGCCTGCACATAATAAAGAGACAATGACATAGAAATTGTTAAGCAGCAGCCGGGGCTGGGGTCGGTAGTTCGCGACATGACGAAGACAACTAATAACAAACCTGAAGAACCGATCTGTTCAATCCCAATTGCGGAACAATGCCAAGATATATAAATGTCGGGATTGCATGCATGTTAGCCCTGCAAAGACCATTCCCTACAAAAACGATTTGCTGATGACAGTATTCGACGCATTACCAAAAAGTTGGAACTGATTGGAAACCGAAACAGAACTGAACCCACAACCTGGCCTTTTCGGCATGCTGTTCCTATTGGCAATTTGCGACTGGATACCGTGTTTTTAAAAAAGGTGCGAGGCGTCAGGGAAACTAGGCAATGGGAGGTCACACCACCACTACAACAATTGCAATGCAATTAATTGCCCCAAGGCTACAAATGTTGATTCTTTCTCTGTCGAACTGGCATTTGACATCTCATGTAGCAGACGCCGAACGCACGCTCCAATTGTCGTGAAATAAGTGTCAAACATGCGTTTTATGACAGTTTTCTATGCTATGCTGGGAATTGTGGGGGTTTGATGATGCCGTAGGATTCCAAGTCTGACTAGCTCAGGTGGGGAAGCATGTATTTGCAAATGTTGATACTCTGCAAAGCATGTTTCGCACATTATGTACTGCTGCTGAGCACCAAGGCTGCAACACGTTAAGGACACGAATCAAGATGTTTCAACACGTTTCTGAAGGTTGGCGTTGCCTCAGCTACGGTAATTCAAGCCATATTGCTATCACACATTCTTTCCAAGACACATTGCTGGCGCGAGGCTCACAAAAGGATGCCAGAAATGCTCCAATTCCCGCACCAAAACGGGACGTTGCCCAGAGGGATCGTCAAAAAATATTTGGTGAGAAAATCAGCGGATATCTTGCCAAAACCTGGAACGGGAATTCCATCGTCATTTTGCACCTGCACGAAACAAAAGTTAGGCGCAAAAGGCTGGAAATTGTGACAAAAAATCGACAAAAGTTTTGCCCAACAAAAGGGATTGCAAAACGAATACATGACAAACCATCACAAAAATACGTTTGCCAACAAAACCCATCAAAAAAGAGGTTTGCCATCTGAACGGGCAGATCCTCTCGAACCTGGATTTGAAAACACTAACGCCAGCCCACTACGAACAGCAATTGGAAAGCCAACTCAAACCATAAAACGCGAATGCATGTTCGAAAAGAAGAACAATCTGCACCCCAAGACGGAGAACATGAAAATATATGAAAATCGTTTCCAAACGTTCGAGAAGTTTCTGGATCCGTGCATCCTCCCTGTTATGGAACAGTCGGCGGCGGCCTCTGAATTTGTTTTGCTTTGATCTGCTCTGATCATTCCTGTTAAAAGCTGCATATCTGATACTTCGGATTTTTGATGAAAATGATTTTTTCCAATGCGCAAGCCTTGGTCAGAAAGGCCCTCAGCTTCGGCAGCTGTCATCTATTACTCTTCTGAGGGGGTTTCTGAACAATTCTTGACCATGCCCTACGGTTTTGAGTTTGAGGCTGTATTCTTCTAAATAAGGAGGTATTGTCCATCCAACTTAAGGAGCTTGAAGCATGCGCTAATCTAACATTGGAGATTTTAGGGATCGCAAAAAAAGAATGGTCTATATCTATATCTACACGTAAAGGAGGTTGGTCGGAAGCAAGGTGAAAGATTCTTTGAGAAGCCTCTGCCATAGTGGATTCTGCCCAGTGGAGACGAGGGCGAATGTGAGCGATCTTGGCCTCCTCAATCGCCTTGTCCAGGGCCTCCTGTGAGTCGAAGGGCATGAACGGCTCCTGTGAAGGCGGCGGAGATTGCTCTGCTAGAAGTCCAGCATCTTGGGCGGTGCGCATCGGAGCCGCCGATGCTGGTAATGTGAGGCCAGCTTCCGGACAAACCATGGTATTCATGGTCGCCGCCTGTGAGGCTTCCACCCCTTCTTGATGTGAGCTTGACATCTGCTCCATCAGCTCCTCGACCGAACGCATCTCCTTGAAATACTGGCGACCGGCATGATTTCCCGGAAGGTCACGCGAACTGGAGCTCCCAGAAGTACTCATACTTGAAGCGGGCAATCCAGTTTTCGATGCCTTCCTCCTCTCCAGCATTGTATGGAGGAATGGAGCGTGTGAGGTAGCGGCTCAACCTCTCTGCAGCAGCATAGTCCTGTGAGGTGGACTTGGCAGCTGTGTCAATGGCATGCTGCTCCACCTGCGTGAGGTTGACTTGCTCCCTCAGCTGATCATACCACACCTCCTTCCAGGCTGTGAGGATGGCATCTTTGTGATCCTCTGGAATTTGCACTGCGCAAATCCAGGCTGGATTGCCTGTGGTGGCTGTGAGGCTTTGGGACTCTGATACAAGATTCTTCCCAACCAAGCATCCTGCTGATCTGTGAGAAAGAGGGTCTTCCACCTTGGCACCAAACTCTCCTTCTGGTACTTCTTGAAGGCCTTCTGATAGGCGTTCATCAGGCCACGCATGGGAGCCCCCTTCAGATCTGCGCTGCTTGGGTGGAAAAAGACGTCATGTTTTCGCAGATTGAGGTTGCAAAGAGAACCCTGGTCCTTCGCAATTTTCCAGAGTGGATGACTGTGCAAGATCGGGAGCTCACAGTCAACCAAGCCATGAGGGAGATGGGCCTCTCACATGTTGAGTGGCATCTTACCACCACTCAGATGGATGATGGCCGGGGGGGGCCCAGCTCTCACAGGTTTCCATCCTACGTGCGAAAAAAGTTGACGGAGGCAAGCAACCGCCTCACAGTCTGGTTCTGGGAGGAGGACAAGGCGCAGCCGACCCAAGGTGAATTGCATCCACAGACTCACAGCCTGCAACAGCTAGCTCCTCCAAAGCCAAGAGCTGGAAGAAGTCCTCCTACAAGGGCTCACAGATCAAGATGACTCCTGGCGTCACACAGCTTGAAGGAGATTGCTTCACTCTCAATGTGATCAATGCGCTGCCTGTGGACCTGGAACTGTGAGCCAAAGTGGCTGTGAAGAGCTCCAAGTGCTGGCGCCACCTTGCCTGCGAGGGCCTCTGTGATCATAGCTGCACATTCGGCTCTTGTGACGCGCGCCTCCTGTGAGCCAGATGCTTGGACCTGCCATTCCTGTGGGCGAGCAACCGGTTCCGCTGTAGCCAAAACTGATGGGCCATCACCTGTCATGAGCGCGTCGTGGTTGTTCACACGCTGGCTCAGGTTCTCCACCTGCTGCCCAGCACTGAACGCTGCTGCAGGTCCTGCGCACGCTGGACTTTGAGGGACTCCATTCCAGCAGAGAGTTTGGCCAACTCTTTGGCAATGCTGTTAAGGGCATCGCCTTCACCTGCCATGGCTGGAGTATCAAACTGTGAGCTGATCCCGTGAGGGAACAGCTGGCACTGCGAGCTGTTCCTGTGAGGAAACAGCACGTTCTAGAGGAGGGCTTGAGCACTCGTGAGCTTTGTACATAGTGTTAGTAAGGGAAATTGGTCTGTATGTAGTTAGTAAGGTCGCGTGTGTCATGCTGAATCTTTTTTACGAGCATGACAACATCAGAGAGAGCCCAGGAGTCAGGGACAGTAGAGGTAGATAAACAGCGGATAAAATGATCAAGAAGAAAGAGTTTAAGAATCTACGGAGAGCCTTTATTGAGATCGGAGGGGGTTGCATCAGGACCAGGGGCCCTACCCCTACTAAGCGAGCGCAGTACAATGTTGAGTTCGGCCATAGTGAAAGGCGCATCACAATGAATGGTAGTGCGCGGTGTGGAGGGGACATCTACTTGTTCTAAAGGAGCCTTCCAGACCTTTTGTGAAAGATAATCAACGAAAGTGGTAGCTCGGGAGTGTTTTGGAGTAAGCTTACCATGAATGTTGAAGAGATTGACTGATCGCGGAAAGGTTTACGGATGGAGCGAGCGGTTCGCCATTGTCGAATGGAGGGACCGTGAAAATATTCCTGTAAATGAGTCACGATAAACTGCGTTTTATCCTTGGAGGCGGATTTCTTGATCCTTTTACGAATAGCTTTGAGTTTGGGGAGAGTAAGATGCGTAGCTGACTGGAAAGAAGTAATTAAAGAGAGAGTGGTGTCGGAGATTTAGGGTTTTTCAGGGGAGACCGGGAAGGTAGGAATGAGGGAATTGTGTTTGAGAATAAGGGAAGACAGAAACTCTGATTGTTCCCGTAAAAATTTGGAGAGCCAAATGTCTGAGTTATAACCTAACTGGGGCGGGGTAAGAAGGAGTGCGCGTGGGAGGGAGAATCTGCCTAGCGTTCCGTAGCTAGTGACTCCATGTTTAGCTAACCTATCCGCGAGTTCATTGCCCGGAATACCAATGTGGGAGGAAACTTTATGTAGAGTAACCTTGTGTATAGACCGGAGTGCTGTAAAGTATTCCTGAGCGAGTTCCACTAGCTGATGATGAGTGGAGGGAAGTTGATCTCCCTGTAAGGAACGAATAACATAAGAGGAGTCGATAAAGATATCAATTTCTGCACTTAAAGGGATATGGGAATAATAAAGTATAATCGAAAAGCTCGATACTGGCTCTCATTTCTACAGTATTATTGGAATCATCCAAAGGGACCAGAGCATGTTCGTCTAAGGGGGTGGCTTTTACCATACTAAAGGAGCAAAGCCAAGTATTATCAGTGGGAAGGTGTGAAAGGAAAGGGGTATTAGAGGTGTAAGCCCCAGCCAGCAGGGTTATTTGGTCCAACAGTTCTATTGTTGGGGCAGGAGCCATCGGTGTAGGCGACTATCCCGACGAGGATGTATTGCAAACGGCATTGCCTGTGGAGGAAAGAAGGGAGGTCTCAACTGCTGCATAAAAATCGGAAGTTAATGAGTAATCTAGCTTGGGCACATGGGTAACTGGGGTCTTAGGTAAAAAAGAAGACCTATAAACGAAAAATAATGGGAGGTGACGCGAGTCGATGAGTTGCTGAAAGATGGAACCCTCAAATGTTATATATGGGAAGATTGGATGGGAGACCGCGGCGTCATCTACCGTCGTCCAATCTGTGACATCAAAGTCATCTGGAGAGTCCGTGCTGCTGGTCATCTCCTTGTACGACACCTTGCGTGAGCTGGGTAAATCAACAAAGGTGTGAGGGAGTATAAGCAAATGTGACTGTAAGAAATCTAGTAGATAGAGTGCATTGTCTCTCTCAGAATCATCAATACTTTGGCTTCCTCCCATACATGGGGGCCAATGTGATCATGAGTACATTGTTTGGGTCAATGTACTCATCAAGTCTAGAATTGTAATCTCCTAGAACTATAACATGGGAAGAGTTATGGTGCTCAGTAATAGTCGTATCAAGTTGGGACCAGAAAAATTCTTTTCTAGCAATGTTCTCGGTAGAATCTTCAACAGTACGAAGGACATATACAGAGAAGACTGTAACGGGATGGGGGTTGGTGCGAATTGTACTCTCACAGATTCTAGGGGAGTGTGCCAAAAAACTTGGAACATGAGGTCGTAGCACAGGGGAAACAAAGAGTCCGACTCCATGATGTCTGGCATTAGATGCTCCAGAGTGGAGAAGTTCCCATCCTAGTCTGTTGAAGGAAGTAAAAGAATCACATTTAGTTTCTTGAACTACTAATAGGTGTATTTGCCTAGATTTGAGAAAGGAGAGTATCTGGTCATACTTAGATACTTCTCTTAGTCCTTCTACATTCCAAGTAGCCATACGTATGTCAAAGCCCGTAGGGAGAGAGGCCGATACTGCTTTTTACGAAGTTGGTTAGATCCCTTAGAACATCTTCTGGGTTGAGATTGAAGTCTATTTAGCGCTGCCGTTGTTGGACATTTCAGGGGCTTCGGATTCTGATCACAGTGTGACCTCAGGGTGGAATCCTTGAAGTTTGATTTCCATTGTCTATAATCCCGTCTAGAGGATTGCTGCTTAGATTTCTGGGAGGCAAATCTCCTTTGTTCAGACTCCGGACATCGAATACCTCGGTGAGAGCCCCTGAGAGCTCGTCGGTTTTGGTAGCCGTAGCCGCACTTGACGTTATCGATCAGGATGAGGATTGTCGTCTTCTTCGTCGTCAACGTCGTTAACGTAAATGTCGTCATGGGGTCCTGAGCCCCGATAACGTACATGGTTCCATCGGTAAATCTCTTGGGCATAGCCCGGAGCTTCCATAGTCGTGATTGAGTAAAAACTGGGAACTCCAGTAACGTCTGAATTGACGGAAATATGTCCAGCGGCTTCCCGGCCCGCCCCGCAGGAGGCGACCGACCGTAGCAGTATCCCGTATTAATCTACTAGAGGAGGATCTGTCCGTGTCCATTTCATATGTTGAACCTCGTCTAAAAAACCAACCTTCCATTGGTTGGAGCGACTTTTTGGGGTCGCCATTTGCCAACAAATATAGTTTCGATTGAGGGCATGGGCAAGTTTGTTTTAAAAACTACTAGAAAAGCCATTCAAGGGTCATTCACTCCCGAAGGTCAGGCGTCGGACGGCTATCGCCTTGTTCTGCGCTGGCACTCACTAAGTTTGGTGAAACTGCTGGCTGATTACTGTAGCGCGGCTTTGCACACACTCTTTGTACATGGGGCCCTGAGGCCCACTGGAATAAAACTAGCAATGAAGTGTTCCATGAGATTGATGTCTAGCGTAAATGTTTCCATTGGTAAATGTGTGTTGCCTCTGGGGCCTGCGGGAGCAACCATATTCACAGAAAAAAGGCAACTGGCAAGGAGAACACCATCGTAAACCTTTCTGTGCTCTCTGTGGAGCAGGAGCTCGTCAAGAGATGGAGCAGTCCATTCTCTCGAGATAACGTAGATGCTTCCATGGGTAAATCTTTCTCTGTGGGAAGGGGGGAGAGAGGGTAACCAAGCAGCAAAATCGAGCATTGCGGTGAAGATGCCAACTATCTGTATCCACCTGCGTCAGTCTGCAACATAGGGGTTCAGAAAGGAATATGATTGATTCTTGTATGAGAGTTGGACACATATCCATGACATGACCCAGACCACTGGGTGGTGGCCTAACTCAGCTAGGAGAATGGACAAGGCTTCAACGCTGTGACCTTTGTTGTTCCAATGCCTGCCGAGAGTGTGATCCCCATTGTGGTAGAGGGGGCTGTCTGGAGTAACAGACTGGATAACTAGATCATAGATTTCTGTGAGTGCATTGTTTGGGGCAACCAGGTTCTGCTTGGTGGTAATTTGAATGTTAAGGAGGATAGCAAGTTGTGCATAAACATGATCAAAGTAATAGGAGCCTGCTGATGCCAACTTTTTGAAAGGAGCATTTGCAAATGGAGCCAGCCCTGCAAAGACATCAAGTAAGTACTGATGTTCATGTATGATCTCGATGAAGATGTCAACAAACTAATTTAAGTAGAAGTTTTCTTCTGAGGGAAGGAGACCTCTCAAAAGTGCCTCGAATGTGGGAAAATCCCAGTTAGGGGGAATATTAAAACAACTGAGGGCTAGGGAGAAGCTGGCTCTGACCATATGGTCATGGAAGAAGTACAAGCCCTATGATGTCAGAAAGTTGGAGATTGAGGGAGGGCAATTCAGAGGGGAGGGGTCAACAATAATCAGTGAGAATCTTTTCTGCCAGCGGGAGAAAAGCTTCATTGCAGATTGTGAGTAGCATTGAACATGACTGTGAATCGCAGAAGTCAAGGCTGTTGCCTAATTGTGTGAAGAATGGGGCTGTCATCAAGAAGGAGGTCTTTATTGGGGGCTGATATTGGATGAGATCTGGAAACCTGGGCAATTCATACAGTGGGTCATTATCAGATGGGTTAACGAGTTGGCCCCACCAGTCCTTGAATGAATCTGGAAATCTTCAAATGGGGAACTGTAAGTGGAGTTCCTGAGAGCATGAAGAAGCTCCGGTGAAGAATCCTCAAGTATTGCAATAATGGCTTTTTCATACCCGAAGTAAATAACATTGTAATGTGGGGACAGAGAAGGTTGCGAAGTGAGTGGAGTCTAAGGATGTAATCGCGGTAAAGCACAGACTGAAACAATCACCCTTTCCAAAAGAGGAGTCAGAACCGGAACAGTTATCCTTATGGGACGCAAACTAGGGCAGGTAACAATGAGAAAATTGTCGTATGAGAAGAGGCGGATTGCGTCGTGGAGATGTTGGCTGCGATGATATCTAATAGCTTCAATGGAGTGATGGGCTGATTGGGTTTTCCCTTGAACAAACATTCAAAAGGATCTAATCTTGTCTCCAAAAATTTTAGGAAAGCACCCTACTACTAATGTGTAGAT